CGCTTCGGCCGGTGCACGGTGCGCAGCAACGCGGGCTACCAAGTCTGCGGGGTGTGGGGGCGAAGGTGGTGCCATCGCCGCCTCGGCGCGTCGAGCCACCGCACCCGTCGCACCGGCAGAGGCCGAATCATCACTAATCGGTCCGTATCTTTCTCTCTCTTTCTCTCTCTCTCTTGCACTGTCTCAGTGTGCGTGGGCACACACACACACACGCAAGGGGGGAGCGGGATGTTCTGCCGCTGCCTCTGGGCGGGTCCCGGCACTCATGTGGAATTTCTTATGAGTTCACCAAACGAACGCCATCGAATTTTATACGGATGTGATATGCGCTTGTATGTTGTACTGTATTCTTCGCCATGTCCCCCTCTCTCGTACCATGGGACACACGCAATGTTTGCCTTTTTTTTGTTTGTTTGTTTGCTTGTTTTTGTTTCCTCCGCCTCCTCTTGGGCTTCCACTTGCGCATGCTCTACGCACGCACATTCCCTTCTCCTTTCCCCTGCCGCCATGTACCGCTTGCCTCTCCGCGGGCCACAGTGTGTGTGTGTGTGTATGTGTGTGAGGAGTGAACGCGCGGACAATCACAAGTTGAGGTCGAAGTCTCAGCTGTGAGGGGGGCGGGGGAAAATAATCGGACCAGTACGAGTGGGATGGAGGGTGGAAGAAGGAAGAAAGTAAAAAAAAAAAAAATATTGGATGTGCTCTACTCACACGTGTCTTATATAGCTCTATATCTTTATACTTGTGCTGTTGCTTTTTCTTTTTCCAGTTTCTCAGGGAGGTGGGGGCCCCTCTTTTTTCCCCCAGCTGTGGCGAGGGTGTGCTGCACACTGCGTGTTGGCTGTGTGTGTGTGTGCGGGGCGGTGATGCTCCTCTCTCTCCCCACCCCCCTGCCGTGCTTGCACACACACACACACACACACACACACATGAGGGAGGGGGGAACGAGGCTCACACTGTGTGTATCTCGTGTCTGCTGTTGCTCTTGCATGTTACTGTTGTTTTCTTTGTTCTCCAGCCCCTCCCCCCTTTTTTTTTTCGTTTTTCCTTCTCGTTTGCGCTGCTGGATTTATACGTTTGCTCCGTTGTTTAATGCCTTCGCTCTCCCCGCCACCTGTTGGTGCCCCTCCATGTGCCAGTTGTGCGTTTGTTCGCGGCACAGTTGTGTGAGTGCTTCTCTGCGCCCTCCCGTTGTTGCGTTGCGGTATTAGGAGAGGAGCGGTCCAGTGTTACACGTGCACACACTAGTAAGCAACATCAATAAAGAAGAGAAAGAGAAAACAACAACCAAAAAAGGGAAAAAAACAACAACCAGGAAACAAGCCAACGGGTAGATATGAAGGCCGGGGGAGCGGATGCAGGGGCGCGGGAGAGTCATATCATTGAGAAAATGAAGAGCAGCGCCGCTGCTGGTGGGAACAGCAACACCAACGCGAACACCACCAGTAGCGGTGGTGGGTCTGGTGCTGCTGCTGCTGCGGCGGCGGCGGCGAAGGGCAGCGGTAGTGACACCGTCGGCGGCAGTCATGCGACGACAGAGGCGAACTCCAATTTGCTGCGCGCGTTGCGGATGAGTGAGGCGACCAACGAGACGGGCTACGCGACGCTGCAGCAGCTTGGGCGGCAGAAAGAGACGATTGGCCGCACGCTGGACAGCGTGGGGGAGACGCGGAGTGAGCTGCGAGGCGCGCAGCGGACCATTCGGGATATTCGCATGGGCGTGTACAAGGAGTGGATAGTGAAGGGGCTCGTGCTGCTGCTACTGCTGCTGCTCGACCTTGTTCTCTTCTACACCAAGTTCATTCGCAAGCGGTGAGATGTGTGTGGCCGATGGTGGCGGCGGTGGTGGTGGTGGTGGCCGTGAAGGGACGTGGCGGATGTGAGGCAGGGGGGAGGTGCGAACACGGACGAAGGTGAAGTGGAGTAAAGTGGAGTGGAGGGGCGCACATGCGCGCAGACGCAAACACACATGTATGGAAGAGTGCGGTGTGAGAGAGAGAGAGGTGTTTGGGGTGGGGGGTGGGGAAACGAATATCAAGACAAGCTTTCGCTCACTGTTGTGCCTCCCACAGCTGTGCATTATGACCCAATTTTCTCTCGCTTATTATCTATGCTTTGTTGTGGTTGTTGTTTGTTGCTGCTGCCGCCGCAGTTGAGTCGTGTTGCTGGTTCTGGGCTCGTGGGTGGCGGCTGGCTGCTGTGACGTGTGAGCGGATACGCAGCACTGCCTGTGAATACACACAAGCGCGCGCTCTTAGCGGCTGCATCACCGTCGCGTCCTCTCCATCCTGCTGCAGCTGCTGCTCTACGCGTGTTTTATCTTCTCAGCTATCTGTCTCTTTCCCATTCTCTCTGTCTCTCCCGTTGCTCTGCGGTGCCACTCGTGTGCTTCACCCGCACACGCCCACACAACCCACCGCAACAAAACAACAACAACAACAACAAGGTCACCCTCGCGTTTCCCGCAGCATGCGCAACTACAACAACTTCAACCGCGTGTGGAAGGCGCCCCGCCGCCCGTTCGAGAAGGAGCGCCTCGACCGCGAGATGCGTCTCTGCGGACAGTACGGCCTGCGCTGCAAGCGTGAGATCTGGCGCGTCAACATGACGCTGTCCAAGATGCGTCGCACCGCCCGTCTGCTGCTGACGCTGCCCGAGAACCACCCGCGCCGCCAGCTGGAGGGTTCCGCCATCATGCGCCGCTGCCACGAGTACGGCTTCCTCGAGGAGGACAAGGACAAGCTCGATTACGTGCTCTCCCTCACCGTGCCCGATATCCTCGAGCGCCGCCTGCAGACGGTGGTCTTCAAGCACGGCCTCGCCAAGTCCGTGCACCACTCACGCACGCTCATCCAGCAGCGCCACATCGCGGTGGCGAAGCAGATCGTGACGATCCCGTCCTTCATTGTGCGCGTGAGCTCTGAGCACCACATCGCCTTCGCGGACGCCTCGCCCTTCGGCAACGGCCGCATCGGCCGCGTGAAGCGCGTCAAGGCGAAGGCGGCGAAGAAGGCGGCCGCTGGTGGCGGTGCTGCCGACGATGACGAATAAACGCAGACTCCCCCGCGCCATTCGTTTCATTTCACTTTCTTCACTTCAACATGGAAAAAAAACAGCTCGTATACAACGTCCTCAACATGTGGGTTGCCTCTACAATCACACCCGCTTTGTGTCTTCTCTTTTGCAGCTTCCTTCCTTTTCTTACTTTCTTTTTTATCCATCCATCGCGTGACCCTCTTAGAACGTTTTTTGTTTGTCATAC